AAACCACTGTGGTGGCACTCTCCGTGGGTGTGGGTGATGAACTGGCTTCTGTAGAGGAAGACTGTGTGGTAGTGCTGTCAGTGGAAGGTGGAGACGAGCTGGCCTCTGAAGAAGAAGACGTTGGGGTGGCACCTTCTGTGGATGTTGGAGAGGATCTGGTCCCTGTAGAAGAAGGCACTGTTGTGGCAATGTCAGTAGGAGTAGGAGAGGAACTGAGATCGGTAGATGTAGGCACTGTGGTGGCACTCTCAGTGTGGGTTGGAGAGGAAGTGGCTGCTCTAGAAGTAATCACTGTGGTAGTGCTGTCAGTGGACGGTAGAGACGCACTGGCCTCTGAAGAAGAAGACGTTGTGGCGGCACCTTCAGGGGTTGTTGGAGAGGAAGTGGGCTCTGCAGAAGAAGGCACTGTTGTGGCACTGTCAGTGGGAGTAGGAGAGGAACTGAAATCTGTAGATGTAGGCACTGTGGTGACACTCTCAGTGGGGGTTGGAGACGAAGTGGCTGGTGCAGAAGAAATCACTGTGGTTGCACTCTCAGTGGGGGTTGGTAATGAACTGGCTTCTGTAGAGGAAGACTCTGTGGTACTGCTGTCGGTGGAAGGTGGAGACGAAGTGGCCTCTGAAGAAGAAGACGTTGTGGTCGCACCTTCAGTAGATGTTGGAGAGGAAGTGGGCTCTGTTGAAGAAGGCACTGTTGTGGCAATGTCAGTAGGAGTAGGGGAGGAACTGAGATCTGTAGATGTAGGCACTGTGGTGGGACTCTCAGTGGGGGTTGGGGAGGAAGTGGGTGCTGTAGAAGAAATCACTGTGGTAGTGCTGTCAGCGGAAGGTGGAGACGAACTGGCCTCTGAAGAAGAAGACGTTGTGGCGGCACCTTCAGTGGATGTTGGAGAGGAAGTGGCCTCTGTAGAAGAGGGCATTGTTATGGCAATGTCAGTGGGAGTAGGAGAGGAACTGACATCTGTAGATGTAGGCACTGTGGTGGCACTCTCAGTGTGGGTTGGAGAGGAAGTGGCTGCTGTGGAAGAAATCATTGTGGTGGCACTCTCAGTGGGTGTAGGAGATGAACTGGCTTCTGTAGAGGAAGGCTCTGTGGTACTGCTGTCGGTGGAAGGTGGAGACGAAGTGGCCTCTGAAGAAGAAGACGTGGTCGCACGTCCAGTAGATGTTGGAGAGGAAGTGGGCTCTGTAGAACAAGGCACTGTTGTGTCAATGTCAGTAGGAGTAGGAGAGGAACTGAGATTTGTAGATGTAGGCACTGTGGTGGCACTCTCAGTGTAGGTTGGAGAGGAAGTGGCCTTTGCGGAAGAAATCACTGTGGTCGTGCTCTCAGTGGAAGGTGCAGACGAACTGGCCTCTGAAGAGGAGGACGTTGTGGTGGCACCTTCTGTGGATGTTGCAGAAGAAGTGGCCTCTGTAGAAGAAGGCACTGGTGTGTCCTTCTCAGTGGGAGTAGGAGAGGAACTGAGATCTGTAGATGTAGGCACTGTGGTGGCACTCTCATTGGGGGTTGGAGGGGAAGTGGCTGTTGTAGAAGAGACCACTGTGGTCGTGATGTCAGCGGAAGATGGAGACGAACTGGCCTCTGAAGAAGAAGACGTTGTGGTGGCACTCTCAGTGGATGTTGGAGAGGTAGTGGCCTCTGTAGAAGAAGGCACTGGTGTGGCATTTTTAGTAGGAGTATGAGAGGAACTGAGATCTGTAGATGTAGGCACTGTGGTGGGACTCTCAGTGGGGGTTGGGGAGGAAGTGGCTGTTGCAGAAGAGATCACTGTGGTCGTGCTCTCAGTGGAAGCTGCTGACGAACTGGCCTCTGAAGAGGAAGACATTGTGATGGCACCTTCTGTGGATTTTGGAGAGGAAGTGGCCTCTGTAGAAGAAGGCACTGGTGTGTCCTTGTCAGTGGGAGTAGGAGAGGAACTGAGATCTGTAGATGTAGGCACTGTGGTGGCACTCTCAGTGGGGGTTGGGGAGGAAGTGGCTGTTGCAGAAGAGATCACTGTGGTCGTGCTCTCAGTGGAAGCTGCTGACGAACTGGCCTCTGAAGAGGAAGACATTGTGGTGGCACCTTCTGTGGATGTTGGAGCGGAAGTGGCCTCTGTAGAAGAAGGCACTGGTGTGGCATTGTTAGTAGGAGTCGGAGAGGAACTGAGATCTGTAGATGTAGGCACTGTGCTGGCACTCTCAGTGGGGGTTGGAGAGGAAGTGGCTGCTGTAGAAGAAATCACTGTGGTCGTGCTGTCAATGGGTGTTGGAGATGAACTGGCTGCTGTAGAGGAAGACACTGTGGTAATGCTGTCGGTGGAAGGTGGAGACGAACTGGCCTCTGAAGAAGAAGACGTTGTGGTGGCACTCTCAGTGGATGCTGGAGAGGAAGTGCCCTCTGTAGAAGAAGGCACTGGTGTGGCATTGTTAGTAGGAGTAGGAGAGGAACTGAGATCTGTAGATGTAGGCACTGTGGTGGGACTCTCAGTGGGCGTTGGAGAGGAAGTGGCTGTTGCAGAAGAGATCACTGTGGTCGTGCTGTCAGCGGAAGATGGAGACGAACTGGCCTC